AAACCAGCAGGAGATTATTAAGCAATTATCTACTCCTCTTTACCTATTTTGTATTCGACGCAAGAGAAATGCTTGTATATTAAATTCGATAACGGATTGTTAGAATGTTATTGCTATCATCTGACGCTATTCTCGATTTTACAGATTCAACGGCATCTCTACACTGAGAAAAATCATTTGATTGTACCAATAAGACGTATATGATTGGAGGCATTTTGGTTAAATCAAACAAGAATTTCTAATTATCATAATAAGACTCGATTTTTTATAAGTAGAACATTTAATAGATTTTATTATAAGGATTTGGTTAGTATTTTCTGGTTGGATCTATACAATTTCTTGTTACATTAATTTCTTTGCTTGCTTCTTAACTTAACTCGTATTCAATATTTGCCATAAAATGTATATAAAGAACTAGTATTAACATTAAATTCAAAGTATATTTTTTTTCTCTTACGAGCAGTAGTGCCAGAAAGAGGACGGTAGCTCTTTGATTGCGTGTGTTTGAGCTGCATCCTCTTCTTGCATCACTGTTTATCAGTTTAATTTCTAACAAACTGAATTTAAAATAATTTATTCAATAATCTGGATTGAATTTATCCAATAATCTTGTTGGAATTGAGAATATTAAACAGACTTTTGAGATTAGATGGAAAAAATTTTAGACGACTTGGTGCTGGCGAGGTTAATATTATTAACCAGAAAATTTGGTAAATTTAACAGGAAGAAATTAATCAGATTCATCTGGTAATTCCTACAAGAATTCTGGTTTGTCCATTTTCCAACAGACATTCTGGTTGAATCTACCAGAATTCAAATTAATGCAAGATTTTTCCTCAGCGTAGGAAGTCATTTGTAATCATAAATTCCACGATATACAAGATCGGCGTCATTTCGCGCTAACAATAAATCGATAAAGGCAATCGCTGTAATCGCGTCACGGGTGAGACAGGTCGTTTCTCCGATCGCCCGTGAAGGCAATCGAAGAGTCCCGGATTATACGAGATCCCTAAACGAGTCATTAAACGCCACGATCCCGCGAATCCACGCCACGGTACATTTCCCTCGCAGCCCTTTGTACTCGCGCCTCGACACGGTCCTGGTCCTCTCGTTTCTTCCATCCTCGTCCTCTCTGCGAGAAGCGCCTCGTTCTGCCTTTAATGCCAGCCTCTCCAGGCTAAAACGACGACTCGCGCTGTCTTACGGCGCGCTGTGACGCGGCAATTTAGGCGTTTGACCCTAAGGGTCACGAGCGGGTTCAGCCGTTTAACCTTCGCGCAATGTCTCTGTCTGCTACGGCCGTCTCTACCACCACCGATTCCCTGCTCGATTCTCCGCTCAGCGCGCGCCCACACGTTCCCTTCCTCTTTACATGCGCATTCCTCCTCGTCCTCTTCCTCGACGGGCGCAAAACGACCTTCGTCCGTTCCTCCTCCCCTCGATCAGCGGCGGGTGCATGTCGTGGTATGTATCGGCGGGCGCGCGAGAAGCCTGAAAGTTTGATTCCACCGGTCAGCTGATTGATATGTGTAGTCGCGCGCAATTTCGTGACTCGAGAATTCATGGCAACGGTTGTTGCGATCCTTCCTAGGAATATTCCAACGTTGGTTCTCTCGGCAGCGATGCACTCTCTTAATTTAATCGACCGAGTTGGAATAATGTCCTGGTGTTATTCTTCTAAACCTGTGCTGATTGTATTCTTTCAAAATAAACGTTTTGATATGAAGTTCAGCTTATTATTACAATGGTAAAATTGAATTTTTAAATAACGGGTATTATAGTTAATTAAGAAATTACACATGTAGAAACATCAAATGGTATTTTTCCAGATCGATCTCGGGATATATCAAATTGATGAATTTTAATTCATTAAAATTTATTTTTTTTCTAGAAATCTTAGATTCATTTTCTTTAAGTATTGTACATGTTTGTAATTATTCAGTTTGCTTCAATGCAAGAAGTTGACCGTCTCGTCGCAATTTTATTATTGTAAATTAAACGATCGATACATCTGTCTCGTCACTTTAATAAAGTTGTATAGCAAATAAGCGCAAGGCTATCTATATCAATGCAACGAGCAAAAATTTACTTGTGAAATTAATTTTTACTTGTGAAATTAATTTGTGTATTTGAAATTTTGAGTTGTGGCTGATATATAATTAAAGTAATACTACTGAAATAAAAACTGAAAAGTTTTTACTACAATTGACATTATTATTTGTATGCGCTAGCATATCATAAACACTTTATTTTGTTTGTTCAAGCGGCTTTACAAACAGGTAACAAAAAAAAATAAATACACCTGACGTATTTTTGGAAGAATTCGCTCTCAAAAATAACAATGTATTTGATAAATAAAAAAAATGGTTTATAAAAATAATATGAGAGAGGAGGGCAAAATAAGTTTCATAATTTTTTATTTTTCTCAAAATTTTTTCCATTTTGCCGTTTGTTTTATTTATTTAGTTTAACGTATAAATTCACGGACATTAAAGCTTTAATTTATATTTATTACACATACGTTATATTATACTTTTGCGTGAAATTTTGATCATATCGTCCATCGACTAGTTCTTTTATTAAAGTGTCACTTTAACGGTCGTCCAAAGTAACGGCTACCGCTAACGACCAGTCCCGAAAGTGTAAAGTAGTATAAGGGCTACGGAGAAAGAAGGTTACTTGAGCTGAACTTTATGAGAGCAGAGGTGATACCCGCGGGTCATATGCATCGCGCGGAGAAAGAAAATGCCTGAAAGAGAAGTCGACGTATGAAGAGAGAAAAATGTTGCCCGAGGAGACACGCTTTCAGGTACAATTTATTCAAATTGCAATTACATCTCAGTGCACTTTGCTTACGGGATGACTTATGTAAGCGTTTGAGATACTAAAAGCTATAATACGCGACACGATAAACTGGCTTCGCATCCACATTTCGCATAAATTTTTTACGACGAAAGCGCGAGAGCAAACCTCCCTAAACTACTTTTAAATAAGTTATGAACACCGTGTAACGGGGAAAAAAAATATTCTTCGCCCGGATAAATTTCTAATATATCAAACATGGTGTTGTGTGTCGCACGCGCGGCATTCTCGTAAATTTTCGACGATGGATATAACGCGAAGAATGACGGAAACGGAACGCGAGCGAAGATTATATTCGATTCGACGTTCCGCTAAATGTCTCGTTTTTATTTTCAAAATCGTTTGTTTGACGAGCACGCGATACGATCACCCTGTTACACCCACCGACGTACCGATCCCGCATGCGATATTTGCATAAAGAGTCACGGAGGAATGACTTTTTGTACATCTACACGTGTATTTCGCGCTCGCGTTTCTTCGGTCAGCTTTATTCAGATGTCGTGTAAACGGCACTGCAGAATCGCAGACGGAGAAAGAATTGATTTTCATACCCCGCTCCCGACGATCCAATCTTCCTCGAGCGCATCTCGAGCGTCGTTATCGCCGCGCTCGTTCCTTTGGTAATATTTGAAACTCAAATGGACAATAAAATTCTACTTCTCGTTTAAGATTACATTCGGATCTTAACGGAACTTTTTGGGAAACGTTCGGTCTAAAGATCTCCTTCTCGATCTTTTTCAAACGCATATTCGTAGATCGAGTCTACTTGAAAATGTTTTCTTAAAAAAAAAGAAGAAAAAAAAAGAAAAAGAAAAAGGAAAAAAAAGGAATGATTTAAGGATGTTTTGTATGTACAATCCCAGCGAAAAGTAGCTGAAAATTAATATTGACGAATATCGACTTTTGGTGTATTTTGAATATGAGAAATTGTGTGTGGAATATTCTTAGCTACGGTGCAAAGATGTATTTTTTAATATTTATTGCGTTTTTACTGAAATATTCCGAATTTTGTTAATCGAAATGATTGTCTTTTGGCAGAGAATTTCGTCTTGTGACAGATATATGGCTAACTTCATTGAATTATATTTAATATTTTTTTAACTAGTTAGTAGTTGTATAATATTATTTGACCAAATATATCCTCTGTATCTAAACTTTTGCAAATTTTAAACAAATTCTGAATATTATTTCCATGTGTTTTTTCATTTGAATCGACGTGATTATGCGTTTCCCATAAGAACACATGTTAATTCGATGCAAATTAAAATCCTTATAACTTGTGAACGCTTTAGTGAATCGATTTAAAAATTGTACTGAAGATTCTAAACATATGTAAGGACATTCTGCATAATTTTCATTAAATTCTCAATATTTTGAAAATAGGTACAAAATAAAATAATCCTTAAAGTCCAAGAAACGCAATAGATGCTAAACGCGCTGCTTTATTTTTTCTTTATGAATGACATACTTATCTTGTTTCAATTTAAAATATTATATTTGATGTAATATTTCATATCGTTGTAATTCTGAATATATTCGCGTCAACGATATGTAAACAAAGCGGCCGAGCGCGAGGTCTTCCCCCACCCTCCCTCTTCATTCACGCTCGACATTCCTCGGTTTTCCTAAAGTTTTTCGTTCAGTTTCGTCTCAACTATCGCGAAGATCAAATCGAACGTTCCGCGTTTTTCACTAGTGTGATATTTGAATCCGTTATTCGTACATAATATCAAGAGTGATAAATTAATTCAATAAATAATGTTTCGCGTTTATTGATAAAAATTATAATATTCTATATTTCATTACTTTAATGTTTATACATTTATATACAATATACATACGTCATAAAATATGGCGTTAATAGAAATTAACAATTCATGTATAATCACTGTTGATATATTTGATAAATATTATAATAAACTGGAACCTCGGAATCGGATCAATAGTGTTTTTACGGAATCAGTGTTATCGAATCAGTGTTTTTACGGAATTAGTGTTATCGAATCAGTGTTTTTACGGAAATCAACTTATTTAATCGTCTTCGCACTCATCTACGACGTGTTATACACGATTATTTGTGATGTCGAGATGCTAGTGATTTAATTGATGAAACATCGCGAGCGGCGAGGGAACGGAAGCAGTTGACCGCTGTGATTAATGCTGCGTTTACCGTCGTTATATCAAGGTATGAACAATATTACAGTCATAAGAATCACTTGCTTCACCACATCTGAGTTGTAATATTTTTTTAAGTTATTGAGAATAATTATTTAAACAATAAGCGTGCAATATTACAAGTTTTATTATGCGCATACGTAATATATGTAGATAAAGTTTCAAATATTTGAAAAACTATAATTAGGAATGTACCATCGTTATCGGAATCGCTTAAATATGTACAGTGTAATATTTACATATGAAATGGTCGTACAATCACGCTATCGTATCACGTCATCACCGTTTCCACGTCGGTTTAGAGAAAGCCGGGACTTCTATCCAAATGTTTACATTGATGTCAGTCGAAGGTAACATGCGAAAGAGGCTAATCCAGAAACATTATGCTTCTTAATCGATTACCGATCTAAGGCGAGCGCTTCATATTCAGCGAAATAACGGAAAAGAACTCCGATAACGCGAACCGTGGCACACCTACTGTCAGACAAGTATGTTTACGCGTTAATGTCGGCAATAAAGTCGGAATAATAATGACAATCTGAAATTCATAAACCGGTGGGCGATGCTTGGGGCGAGGATCGCTCGTAGATTTTGTAAAATACTGCCGGTTCGCGAAAGGTGCAAATGTGCTCCTCGCGTGAAAGGGTAAAAATACAAGCGACGATATCGGGAATGGCATGGCATTAGAGATTAAAGAATATCTCTCGCGTTAAGAGTGCTATAGATATTTGCGGAAATGTTAGACGGTCGGTGAATCTCGAGGAAAATCGACGGATATCTCCGGCTTCCTAGCTTACCTGGAAATTATTGAATCGCCCCGACCTAGATTCATTACTTTCGTAAAAGGTCTGAACATTGACATGTAGCTATACGTTAAATTGAAAGGACAGCCGCACGGAAAGTGTATCGTATACTTGACATGAAAGATTATTAAAATTGAACGAGAAAAAAATTGTATAAATAAATTAAAAATTTAGAAAATAATTTTAACGAAGAATAGTATTTTTTTTCTAATAAGATTTCCGATCTCGCGGCATCAAACAGGCGTGAAACGCAACGCATCATCGTCTCATAAGCATCAATGAGTTTGATCGTGGGTGTGCGCTTCTTAGTAATGCTCCCACGATAAACCTTCCAAGAGAGAAAAAGAGAAAAAAAAGAATGAATAAGGAAGAGAGGAAATTTGCGTGCCGGTTGGTTACGGTTGTAGGATCTGTCAGGCTGCGCGGCGTAATAGAAATAATGAGGCCGGTCGTAGATACGTGCCCGAGATGGTGGTATCTACCTGGAGTAGCCTCGGGGCCACTCACAGGGCACCTCTCCTGTACCTTAAACGGAGGGCCGGAAGTGCATGTGCCGTTCTTGAATAAGGGGACGCCCTTTGTGTATGTGTGTCTGCGTGCGACCGATATATCGTGCCTGCATAAGGGCACATATCCGGTATTTCAGAATCAACCCTCCCGGCGAATTCAGCTCGCTCGTTTATTGTCTACCTGATCGCGAAGATAAAAAAAATTCCCGATCGAATAATACGTACCTACACACGTGTAACACTTTGATCGCGAATTATATGTACGATGTTTTCAATTATCGGTCTTTCGCATATCGATGTTACGTCACCGGCGTGGCAGCCGTGTTAATTGGAGTTCTCTTGGCGTTCATTCATTCCTCGGAATATCGACGGCGGTCGGATGAAAATGGCGCACTTCCGAGTGGAGGTGCCTTACGGCGCCGGCTTCGAGAGATCGCGAGATCGATCGATGGGCGTGTCGGGCGCTAATAATTCAAGCTAAACCGGAACGAGCACATCCCGACGCGCTAACGAAAGTGATCAGACATGCTCAAGTATACGCGACTCGTGGCTCATGTATGTATGTATGTATGATAAATAGGGCAGGAGAAACATCCTGTCGCGCGTCCAACACTTTTATTCGTTCGCGGCGCGTATTGTTTGCGCGCTTGTAGATTGCATATCCGCGACAAGACGGACATGCTTGGGGACGACGCGGTAAATCAGCATTTATGCGACCTCATACATTTGGCACACGAGAGAGCAGCTGCGATCCATAGCGAGACCAAGTTGAATTGAGATTCTTTCGAAGGGAAGAATTTGTTTACGACAGTCAGCGCGGACGGGGGCGATCGAACTAATCATAACTTCGTGACGTGCCATTAATGCACTAGCAGTACGAAGACGTGCTCGTTTCTTTGCTACAGTCTCCTATAGTAATCTTTCGAGCGGGAAAAAATTTTGAAAGCGGAATATTATCTCGCAAAGCATTTCCCGATGCGAAATTCAAAGACGTTATTTAGAAATAATTATCTCAGATTTTATCCACTAATAATATTAAACTAACTCGGCGATAATCTTGTAGGAAAATTTTTTCTGCCTTATATAAGGTATATTGTATGGTTGTAAAGAGAATTTTTAGATTGCTTTTCGAATAGTAATTTCGATATTAAAAAGCAATATTGCGCTTGGGACGATAGTGTTTCGCTTTTTATTAAAGATTTATGTATATATTCGCCATTGATGTCGGTTGTTGTAGTCTTTGCACATTAAGCTGGCCGCAAATTTACTTTGCTCTTCTTTATCGCGCCAAAGTCAATCATCTTTCCGTTGAGACGATTCCTTCGCCTCCGGATCTCTCGCCGGCGGTTTTGCTTCAATAATCATCTCGCGGATGGATGGGATTCGTCCGTCTTATTTCCGTCCCCGCGTGGAGAGTAGTTTTCTATGAGAAATCAATTTCTCGTCATTTTCTCGACGGATCGTTCTTCTTCTCAAATATATACGATTCACAATTCATAAAGTCGACGACACAATCTTGTCGAGTTCCACGACATTTTCCCGACGCGTTATCTATCATCCTCCATCGAAGATCTTGATAAAACATGGTATAAATCGAATTTTCAATTCATTCGCATTGATAAAACAAAAAATTGAAAATTATTTTATTTATACTCGGGAAAATATATATTTACATTATAAAGTTGTATCTCTTATCATTATATTTTGCGTATAATTATCTTAGAGATATTTTTACGTTGAAAAACAGGACAATTTTAGGACAATTAGATTTAAAGATTATCAAAGAAAGAGATGCATACTTCATTTTGTATCATCACCAATAGAAAATGAGGTCGATCTATAAGAAATGACTTCTGACTCTCTGCGAATTGAACAGCTCTTCCATAAAAGACGCCATACATGCTCGCGCTCCCCTCTCCTCACCGACATTGAATAATCTTCACATCCATTCTGTAAATGGAGTAAGTCCTAAAGAGGATGGGAGAGGAGATAGTAACGTCTTTTTTTCATTTTTTAAATTTATTCAATAAAAGGATATGGAGAATAGCGATGGGCCCCGTAGTACTTCGTCTGCCTTATTGACGTTTCCATTTGCGTAACATCTTAACTCAGCTTCATTCGAATCCATCTCCGATAAAGCATGTTCCTCGCGTTTGTCGAGTTTTGAAGGTATATCTCGAATTTCGATTACGTTCGCACGCATTCGATATTTGTATATACTCTTCGCTCTATCTCAAATTAACATCGATATATACAATTTTTCATTCAACGATGTTGCTTTATTACAAAGCATAGAGATAGACTCATCAAAGATTAATACATTATAATTTGTCATATTATTAATTTATTAATATTTATTAACTAATTTATGATGATTTGTTATAATATCTCTTTGCAAGTAATAATGAGATCTTAAATTCAAGAAATAAAAATAGCGGTATAAAGATAAAAATATGAAGTATTTTTTGATCGCGAAAAATTCGCAAATATACGTCAGCTGATTGCAATTGTCTGTGTCGTAATTAATTAACGGCTCGATGGTTGACTCGATCTTTATGGCAGCGACTGATGCTTAAATGCGTCGGATGAACGGGATAAGTAGCGCGATATCCGTCCCTTTTGGACCGTTTGTCGGCTGAATGCCGTCGTCGCGAAAGTGCAAAAAGGTCGGACAGACAGAGAGAGAATTTTATTGGAAGAAAGAAACGTTTTTCGTCGTTCTTACTCGCGATTCTCAGACGAGGGAGACGAGGCTCCCGTTTCTTTTCTTCCGTGCGGGCCTCCTGGCCCGCCATCAATAATGTCCTTTTCATTCTTTTCGCGACGCAGAGGGAGTGTCAGAGGAGGGTGGGTAGTCTTTGAAAAAAAAAAGAGTCCTGACCGTCGGTATTATCTTCTTAAATTGGGCAACGATGCAACAATACTACTCGTACAAAGACCATAAAAAGAACGCTACTGTTGAATATTATATACAAGGGCGGATACAGAATACACACACACATACATTCTTGCGACAGCATTGTCCTCGCACCCACAACACGCGATTATTATTAATGGTCCTCCAGAGAGTGGGGCAGCGAACATTCGCGTGTCTCACTCGAGGATATGCCAGCGGAATCTTACCCTTGGGATATTTCCTTCTTTTTTCATCCCGGTGTTTTGTGGAACAGGATTATAACGAAAAAATTTTAGATATTGCAACGATATTTCATTGCGATTTTACCCCAGATAAAATATTTATAGACGCGTTTATTTATTTTTGTTTCAGGTAAGAAAACTTTGACGAGGTGTTATAGTTGACAATTTGATCGACCTCACAAGGATCGACGCTGTAAAACGGACGCGAGTCCACTGACAAAAAAGAAGCCTTCTTTCACAGGTAAAACGAACTGCTCGTTAGTTGCGTTGAATATATTCGTCTATAACGAATAGAATATGCATTCTGAATGGCGGCGTCAGCGGATTTCACGAATCGCGATGCCGATTTTCCGAATCAGATTTCTACAACGTAACTTTGTACTTTAAAATCCGAGCGCAAACCGAACGATCGTGCGAAACGAAACTAAAAATTTAGCAAACTCAGAACGATTGCATCAACGTAGATATTTCGTGATCGGGAATCCTCTGAAATGCACGCCAAACTTGTATAGATATTTTCATTTCCCGATAGAAATTCATATCCTTCAACCAGATTATCG